TAAATAAACTTTAAGCAGTAGAAGCCTTTCAAAAAATCATCAGTTGTGCTGTTTTGGTATTGTAGCAAGATTTTTGAATACAAAATAAATTTAATTACATATTGTTGCTACTACTAACTGTTTTAATAAGTTCAATTCTAATAATACACAGGAAGTATCAATTAAAAGTATCATGTTTTTGTTTGTGCAGATGCTTTTTGTATGATAACAAAAAACTTTCATTGTTAAGCTCAAGGTAAACAAGTTGAAAAAAAGGTTTAATTAAATTTTGGTAGGAGCGTTGACAGGGATTAACGTGGTTGTCAAGTCTATTAGTTGATAGGCCAGTTCCGCAACTAGAAATATGTCCATTTATTCGTAATCTTAAATTGTTAGTTTTGCCAGTATATGTGGCTTGTTTTTTGCCTGCCAAACATTATTATATACAAACATTATGAAACAGCAAAAAGGTAATAAGTTATGTTTTTGCTGTTTCATGTGATGTGACTTTTTATTTTCCAGATAGTACTATTAGAAGTTACAAACTCATCTACTTCTAGAAGGTAGAGTTTGCATATTTTACATAGAATGTCTTTGCATTTAAATATGCCAATCATTTTTAAATTTGCTTCAAATTTTGAAGAAGTAAGTCTTCCTAATAAGTTAGGAGGTTGTTTAAAAGCTAATACCAGATAAATATAAGAAAAAATATTTTTGACTCTTTCATTCTCAGATACTTTGAGTAAAAGGTTTGTTTCTGATATTAAAGGTTGACACGTGAGATTACTATAGAATGTTGTCACTAAAGGTAATATTTCTTTAAACTTTTTTTGTGACGCTGGTCCTTGTAGTTTTGCGTTATGGAATGCTTTATTTATAATTACTTAAGGATATTTACAATCTTTCAACCATGACTTTAGTTCAGCAAGACGAAGTTTTTCAATTTTGTAATTAGATGTAAAAACAATTATTCTTTTAGTTAAATTATATGGAATATTCTTTTTGATGTGTAATGGATAATCGCTGTTATAGTTTAATTAGTCATGAGTGTTCGCTTCTTTATAATAAATGTCTGTTTGAATTTTTTTGTAGTTTTTAAGAGTAATTGCAATGTCTAAAAAGTTAATTACACTGTAGGTGTTATCATTATCAAATTGGTTGTAAAGCTAATTGATTCATTTAATTCAGTAAAAGAAATTTTAAAATTTATGAAATCAAGATGTTTTGGCCAGATTATAAAACCATCATCAATATATCTAAAATAAAAAATTTTTATATCATCTGCTTCACGGTTTGAAAATTAATGAGGTAGAATTACTAGAAAAGCTTATTCTCTTCTAGAGACCCAATAGTGAGACAAGCATAATCTGGCGCGAAATCTGTACCCATGGCTAAACCAGTTGTTTGGTGAAATAATTGTTTATCAAATATAAATTATTGTTATTTAAACTAAAAGATGCTGATCAATTATGAATTCAGGTGTAAATCTTTTATCTATTAATTCTTTATATTTAAATATTCAGAACTTTAGGGCTTTTAAACCAAGATAATGAGGGACGCTTGTGTAAAGATTGACAATGTCGCATGTCATTATTCGACTTTCTGATTCAAACTCTCTTGGAATTTTTCTGAGGAAATCCCAGTCATCTTTAATTAAAGATTTTTGTTTCTTTACAATTGGTAATAAAATTATATGTAAAATCTGGCTCAAACGAGATGTTGGCAAATTTATTCTGGCAAAAATTGGCAATAATCTACCTGTAAGATCTTTTGGTGGTTTCATTTCAATGAATAAAGAGTTGGACTCTTTTACCTTTTTAATGATTTCTTGGCATTGTGAATTTTAGGAATTACATAGAAATTACTAGTTTTCCATTTAAAGTTTGTGATATATTTTATTTCATTTGTCGTGAGGTATTTATGTTTGTTTATCAATTTAATAAGATTGCTAAAAAACTATTTTATCGGATTCAGTACTTATTTTTTCATATGTATTAACAGAAAAAAGACGGTCTTGATGAACAAGTTTGTTACTATATCTAATATTGTATGTTTATATATCAGCTCCGGATCAAGGAGAGGGAGCTACAGCCCCGGGCCCCGCAAATTTAGAGCCCCCTAAAAATTTTAGAAGCCCTTTTTTTTTGTTAGTCATTTTTAGGCTCTGGCCCATAAAAAGGCTTCTAAAACCAAAAATAGCACCGGTACCCAAAAAGTCTTAGTCCGCCACTGGTCTCTGTTAACCTATATAACTACTTTGTAGCAAATTTAATAAAATATATTAACTTGGTATATTAACTTGGTACAGAAAAATTTAAACAATTTGAAAAATAATAATATTGATGATAAAATCTAAATTATAAAAGCTTCTATTTATATATAACTTATAAAAAGCCAAATAAAATAACTTTGCATTAAAAACTTTTTCTAAGCTCACCGGAATTTATGCTATTTGCATCTGCATTGAAAACGTCTTCAGACCTTGGTAAGCCACTATTATGCAATTTTAGTTTATGACGATCTAAACAAAATATTTATATTAAAATTAATCAGTTTTATATTAAATTAAAGCAGTGTTCAATACCCACAGATTTTAATTTATCTTGATTTAATGTTTCTTTTAAAATATATCAATAAAATAAAATCATCAATAAAACTACATCAACAAAAAAATAATGCAATCGATTAGAGTTAATCTTAATTTCAATGGCTCTGTTAATTCAAAAACTTAATTGACTAATTACTGTCATCATCCATTATTATTATATGCAACTTTTTTAACTTGTTAGTTCTTTTATTTATTTTTTTTTTATTTTTTTGCTCTTTTTGTTTTTTTGTTCTTTTTTTTTTGTTTTGTTTTTTGTTTTGTTTTGTTCTTTATGTGTGTTTTTTGTTTAACTTATTTAAGTTATTGTATTACCTATAAAGTAGATCATTCATTAGTTATTATTTGAATCTTTTTTAAACTAAAGCAAATTCATTTATTATAAATTCTATTATCGAACATATAGAATTTATATTTTTAAAAATCTTTATATACCTAATCACATAGTTTAAATACTAAAAGTTTTTCAAGTTTTCATCATTTTTGGTAGACCCTATCATATATATATATATATATATATATATATATATATATATATATATATATATATATATATATATATATATATATATATATATATATATATATATATATATATATATATATATATATATATATATATATATATATATATATATATATATATATATATATATATATATATATATATATATATATATATATATATATCTATATATATATATATATATATATATTTATATATATATATATATATATATATATATATATATATATATATATATATATATATATATATATATATATATATATATATATAATTTGGGTAGGCCGATTTTGGTATGTAATTACCGCTAAACTATAGAATGAAGTTGAATATTCATATGTAAGTAACAAAAATAACAAATTTAAGTGTTTAAACTGAATATTTTTTTGCGGAACTTCGTTTGAGTTAGTGGATTTGATTACTTCGTTAACTACCTTTTGCTGTTTTATAAAAAAAAAATTCTTTATTCTTTAAAGCACGCATGTATTGTATTTTGTTTGTAAACAATATTTATTTTCCTAGTTTTGTAGTCTTTAGAAAAGTCTCTGACTGTAACATTATAAACGCCAAAAAATCAAATTTATAATAGGTTTATAAGTATTTCTTAAAATATAAATTTTGATTCACCCAAGTCTCTACAACTAGATTTAGACGCTTAACTGTTTTATATTTTATAAATTTTATTTTTGTAGAATGATATAATGCAGTTGAAAAAGATTAAAGTGAACAACAAGCACGTTTTACCTATTGTAAAAATATAATTTTATATTATCAAGTAAGTTATTATTTTGTGCAAAATTTAAACAGCTTAGTACTTTAATAATGAGATATTAATTATTGCAAAAAACTTGTGTGTCTCGTAATAGCAATATGAACAAAGTGTTTAGTTTTAGAAAATAAGAAAGGCCAAAAATAAATAAAGGCCCTATACGCGATCAAAAAGTGAAGAGATTTACAGAGGCTACCTTTGTGATTTTATTACAACGAATCCAAGCACATTCAGACAATTGATAAAATTTTATTACTTCTTAAATTGTTCTGACATTAAGCCAAACTTTTGGCGATTGTTAAACGTGTTTCGTGTATTTTAAAACTTATATGGCTATTTGTCTATTGAAACAAAAATTTAAAACTTATTTGCGACTGTAAAAAAAAAAACCGCAAACAAGCTAAAGAAAATATCAAACGAAATCTCGACTCAAAACTAGATAAACTTTTTGACGTATCTGCTTGTTGCTTGTTGTTGTTTGTTCATTGGATATTGTTTCAAGTAACAATGTTTATGTAAAATATAAAAATGCAAATGGAACACATAATATGTATATGCCCTAAACTCAGTAAGCACAAAGACGTTTAAAAGACGTTTTAAAGATGTCTTTCAGGAGGTCTAAAAGGCGCACTTGTAGACGTCTAGATCATAAGGCTAAAAAACGTCTAAATGAAGACGTCTTTATAAAAAAGCGTTTTAGACGTATTTTAGACGTATTTTTCAAGATGAATTTAAGTACATGACGTAACATTTTCGCGTAGTATGTGGTATATATTCATTGTATTTATAAAATCATATATTGTTATAATTTCGTATATACAAAATATACATAGGAACCAGCAATCAAAATAATATTGCTGTAATCACCACAAACGGTTGATGCATAAAAGATAAAAATAATATATAACAATAACAAATATATATCAAAACAGTATTCAAAACTTTAAAATTACCTCTAGTTATAATAAAATTTAACATACATATTGCTAGCTATTTTTTGACCGCATACTTGAATTATCATATGGCTTGTGGGTGTATAAAAACTAAAAATACTGATATTTAACTTATATATTATTCTTGCCATTTTCACTTATTATCATGATCAGTCAACTATCTAATAAAAAAGCAAAATAATTATTAATAAAAAAAAGATATATTAATATTATAGCAATTATTTTAGTGATTCCTGTGACAACAATTTTAGCAATTGCGTAAAAAAGTAATTTAATTTAAAGTAATTTACACTTTAAACTTAAACAAATTATTGAAAATAATAAAAACTATGTTTTTACTTTGAATAAACGACATCTACTTAACGCGTAATGACAAAGCCGTCAAAAAGAAGTCATAATGACATATTTATAAACAGGTCTCAGAAAAGCCTTGATCTAGACGTCTTTTAATGCGTCTTTTAGACTATTTATTATGCGTCTTTTAAACGTCTTTTTAAACTTCAAAAAGACGCATTTTAAACGTCATTTTAAAATCGCATTTATTAAAGACAACTAGAAGATGTCTTAAAAAATATATCTTCTAGACGTTTTTTTAACGCTTAAATAGACGCCTTTTGAACGTCATTTTAAAAACGCCTTTATAAAAGACGTCTATAAGTGTCTAAAATGCGTCTTGTGCTTACTGGGAAGAAGCAAAATTTCCAATAGAAGAAAGGGCTTATATACAAGACCAGCGTTTAAAAAACAGGACCAAAAGGGTTATTTCAGATGTCTTAGGTAGATATGTCTGCTTTAACACAAAACAAAAGGGTTAAACAGAAGGAAGGAAATATATCACATCACAAAAATATTAATAATGAGCTTTCAAGTTTATTAACAGATCGCCCAGAATGTATATCTAAATAATAACATCTTTGGTGTTTTTATTTTCGTGGCCTTAAAATTTTAATTTGTTTAGTATATATTAAACATTTATTAAAAATAAATTCACTTATCATGAGTATTTTTAATTTTTTACTTAAAGAACAGGCTGAATGGAAACCAAATAAAAGAACTCAGACAGATTATAGTATTCGAAAGTTTCAAAGATATGCAATGAAGCTGGTCAGAGGCGGATTTTCTTCAAATCTTGTTACCGGAAGTTGATATCAGTAATATTCTAATGGATAGGTGTAAATTAGACAGAGCTAAATCAAAAGTAAAAATAGTTTCAAAAAATGCAGACTCTAAAGAGAAAAAACAACTATTTTGCATTAGTTTAGATAAGAAGATAAGATAGATAAGAACATGAAAATGTACTTAGAAGCAAACGTTTCTGATTGAAAAAATTTCATAACAAAATGTGTTGTTGCAGAGCATAACCTTACTTTTAAACATAAGGATGGCAAATCTCACGGGATCGACTTAACATACAGAACAATACCCGTTGTTGGTGCTAGTAAGATTGTTCTTGCTCTTAAGACATATAGTGTACTTGAAGAATATGACAGTCTGGAGACCGTCCGTGCTAATCTTTTAGACAATACTGCATCAAACAAAGGTTGGAAGACTGGCTTGGAGGTTAATCTAGAAGAGTTGATAGAAAGAAAATTTCACACAATAGGTTGTAGACTTCATCAAAATGAACTCCAACTAAACCCCTTTTTTTTTAAAAAAAAGGAAAAACAACCGGTCCACAAAATATTAGTGGACCGGTTGAAGAGTTTGAAGCAATTCAAACTCTAATTAAGTTTGAATTGCTTCAAACTCAATTAGAGTTTGAAGCAATTCAAACTTCTATCACTGAAGAACATATTTCAGATGAGATATTAAAAGATATTAGTCATGATCAAAGGCTTCTTTACGAATATTGTAAAGGTATTGGATTAGGTAAAGTAGACGACAAATGGGCTAATTGTAAAATAAGTCCACTAAATCATGCTCGATGATTAACCCTTTCTATACGAATTTTTTTTTTATACATTCGAGATGTTTCTCTAAACGTAAGTCTAAAAAATCTTACCCATTATATTATTAAAGTTTATGCTCTTTTGAGGTTTCAAATGAAGAAATCTCCAAATTGCAAGATTCCCCTTCGATTCTGTTTTTAATTATTAATCAACAGAACCTTTTTAAGTTTGATGATGTAAAAAATAATATAAAAAAAAACATTCAAGGTAATGCTTTCTATTTAAAATCTGTAAATTTTTTCTATGCTATGGTTTTCTATGCTATGGTTAAAAATGATGATTGGCAGATCAGGACTCTCGGATTTGAGACAATACTCACTTTCAGAAAACAGTAAACTTTTTAAAATTGGTTTTTGTAATTATAATTTATCAAGCAGCTGTAAACAAAGCTTTTTTAAAAAATGTATTTTGCTGTATTTTATAGTATTAAGTTATAATTCAGGTTATTAATTTTATTTGGTTTTTGCAAGGTTTTTAAAGGTAGCAATATTTTTATTTTTAGAAACAATAGCAGTTATGGAATACAAAAGAGAACTACTCAACTAAATTGGAATGCTACAAGCTGGATATCTCTTATTGATATTGTTGATCTTTCTTATATCGTAATGGAGCTACCAACTACAAAAGAATTTTCCAATGAAGATATTCACACATTCATTAAAAATAAAATAAAGCCTAATATTCGAAATCATCCCTTTTTCTCCCAAAGCGTTTAAAAA